AGAGAGTTTTGAAATAATGAGATGTGTGAAATGGCACAGAAGTTGACATATAAAGAGTTTGGTAACTTTAATATACTTAATTATTGTATAATTGTTATTGTCACTGAATTAAAATATTATGCAAAACAAGTTATAGCAGAAGCATCACGTCATTTCTTCACTCAAATAATTTTTTGAATTGTTATTCAAGACTTTGTCCAATTTTCGTATTTTTTGTGAATTTAGTGTCGGTGTTCCCACTTCAACAATGTTTTCATCATTCCTCTCTCGGTGAGCAGCCCTACATATTCTCTCATCCGTCAAGGAAGAGAGGGGGGGGGATTTTTTTCAATAAATAATTCACCACTGATAGCCAGCCCTAATGCTTACATGAACAAATCTCTCAGTTACAGCCATCTTGGGAGTAAGCCAGTTCGAGAGCATACTTAATAAACAAATACAGGGTCTGACAAGCTCTGGTTTCACCGTGTCTCTCTGAGAGGAAAGTATTTGAAGACAGTCGGGGAAACGACATCCTTTCCGTGGGTGAAGGTTTAGGGGTCAGGTGTGGGTTATTGTTGCAATGGTTTCGTTGTATTGTTACTGCTGATCCTGTGGATGGATTTATTGTCTGTTTTACACAAGGCATAATTTCAATCCAAAATTTTACAATCTGTCACCATTTAGCAGGAGTTAATTTACAGAGGACGTATTGAAACAATGCATAAAATACTAATGAAGAAATAATTTCATTTATGGACACGGGTATATCTCATCTGTGCAGAGAAATCAGCTCTTTGATCATGTTGCCCTTTGTGTCCACTTCTAGGACCAGGGCTGAGTCAGTATATCACAGCCTTATATCGACCACATGTTTGCTGGGACTAGAAACACGATCCAGACATGATTCCTCCAACCCAGCCCTTTGGGTAAAGTGTGTGTGTCTGTGCAACATCTTCTCACGGAAGTGTTCTTGTCATACACTACAAGCAGACACCACCTTATTTTTTTGTAGCACTACAGTGGATTTGTTTTTCAGTATTTGGGGCTTATGGTTATCATCATTTTTTTTCTGTGGGTCATGGGTTAATTTCAGCTGCATCCTGCTTGAGCCAACATGTTCCTCACCAATTTTTCTATTAGGTATAGATGGAAAACATGGCATTCATTAATTTTTGTACAAATAAGTACAAATTGGTAGTGTGTGTGCATTTGTGTGCACATCAGGTGTACGTCTGTGACTGGACATGGTCGTTGGCCAGCTATGTTGCTTCTCTGTGCGTCTGCTTCAAGACATGAAATATTCAAGGTCCAGTGAAAATTGATCTGCTCATCTGAAGTCTGTTTCTCTCTCTCTCTCTCTCTCTCTGACCAGATCCCCCTGGAGCTGCCTCGAAGAAGGATGCTAATATCACATATCAGTTAGATGACCAAGTTCAGGGCCTGCACAACTGCTGCAGCTACAGCACCAGAGCTTGGATCAATGGAATACTGCTGGGAATACACTGGACCACACCCACATACTGATTAGACCCTCTGATTGGATATCACATGGATGTCTTGACCACTGCCATGGCTTTCATGCAAATTGATAAAGGTAATTTAAGTCCCTTAAAGTGAAATTTGATTTGCGTTAAGAGGTTCTGCTACTTTTCCCTTAATGTAAAATGGTTGTGATTAATAGTCCGGGAGAAATATTCTCAAGTGTAACGGTTTAATGTATCTCCTCAACTCAATTAGTGGTGCTGCTGTTTGTCATCTGAGTTTATTGCAAGTATTTTAAGCAAGGAAAAGTTGATTCCTTCCATATACTCTCCACTCCACTCAAAACTGAACGCTGTCCTTGACTTTACACACCATGAAACTGAAAATACAGCCACAAAATACACGCACACTAAAATTTTATCAGCAAACAATCCCCGCTATACCATTGTATCCACCTACCCTGGCTGTGGCTGTTACGTGCTCCCCTAAATGTCTGCGACACTCCACCTCACCTTCTCAGAGCAGCACAACTCTGCAACCTGACTAAATGAAAAACAATCTGCGGAAGCGGGGAACAATCCTAGTCAGGCTCCAGCAGGCTGCCATAAAAAAGAGGGGCTGCCTCTCCAGCCTCTCCCTCATGCCTTCAGCTCTAAGTCTATGGGCTGATGAAAGATCAATGGGCCGACCGGGCAGCCGCTGCTGTGACTGCTGTCCGCCACTGCACCGGGAAGCAAGCCAATTACAAAACACAAGAGGAAAAAAAAATGAATGCAAACTGACTGATTGAGTTGTTGTGTGTGTGGGTTTTCTCTTTATCTCATATGTGCTGAGTCCAGCCTCCTTGTAGCAGCTAGACTTACTTTTTGAGAAATGTTGAACGTTTCCAGCCCGTGGATCATATTCCAAACTCATTTTAACCCCGTTCTCTTTCTACATCCCCCACCTTCCCTATACCTCACCCTCTTAAACACCCCTTTAACCCTTCGCCCCCCGCCTCCAGGAGCCTCACTCCAGATCTGTACCAGCTAACCAGCCCTCTGGATCTCCAGCCGGAGTAATGGGGGTTGGCGCTGGGGCTTGGTGCAAACACGCAGCAGCAGACAAACAAATCATGTTAAGTCTCTGCTGCCACGGCTGGCAACACACTCAAAGGGGAGCCGGTGCCCTGCCAGGGAGGAGGGTGCACCCATTTTCCCAGGGAGGGGGTGAGGGCGAGGGTGAACACGAGGGAGGGCAGCGTGGAGAGGGAGGCCTGGTCCTTATCGAGCCCGGATCACAGACACCTCTGCCCCTCCTGGCAGGAATGCACACGGGCCCTGTGGGAGGAGAGAGGGAGAAGAAAGAAGGAGGAGGAAACGAGCAGACATGAAGAGGGGAAGTAAAAGAGGGGAAGAAAAGGGCGAGCGAGGGAAAGTGAGAGACCGAATGAAGGCAGGAGATGGACGCACAGGGAGAGAGAGAAAGACCTGCCCAGCTTCACAGTGCACACAGACGAAAACACACCAATCGCAGCACTCAACACACTCACTGGTTTGAGAGCACCAGTGGGAGAGCACATAGGAAAACAAACGGGGGCATTAGGCCGCTCAAATACCATCCTCACCATGCTGCTGTGGTTCTCATTACCTCAGTTCAATCACTACTCTAATTCAACATGTGTCACTGATGACAGCCGACGAGACATCAGAGAGCCAGCGATACGGTTACACATTACAGAGGTGTTAAACATTTAAACGTCTTTGTTCTTAGGTTGATCTTTTTGTCCTCTTTACAACTTCAACACATCCTCCATTTCAAATTGTTTCAAAAACACTTACCCTAAAAGGCCTTAGTCTGTGTTTCAGTTATCACGGTTGCTAATATTCCCTCTTTCCCCCAGAGACAATCATAGAAAGCGGGATGATATACTGTATATCGAGTGTATAGAGATCCTCAATTATTGGATTGTGTAATATTTCCGCAGCCTCTCCTTGGATGGAGATATTTCCCCTTCAAGCCCACAGAGAGTTAGTGTAATTGTGATCTTAACGTGGCATTCCTTCCTGCTGGCTGAGACCTTTCTGCGGCCGTGTGTCGGAGGCAAAGAACAGCCCTTGTCAGGTGGAGATTGGGGTTTAGGGGTTCATTCGCAGTTCACGCGATGGCATTCCATACAATCTTTACATTTCCATACACCCTCACTCTCGTCCCCTCGTCCCTCCTTTGCTCATCATACACTTCTGAAATATCTATACACAGTTGTTCCTTCACTGTTGACATAATTTGCCCTTCAGTTAGAAATGTAGGGAGCTTTGACATGCTGTATACTCTGCATGCTTTGCTGAGCACCCGGGAGCCATGACGAAGATCTGAGTCACAGTACAATGTATGCACTGTAACTTCTGTGTGCTGATCCCCAAGTGTCTCTGAAATGCTACGAAACAAAACCACACACAAAGTCCTCCAGCAAACATGTTACCAGAGCAGCTCAGAAATCACCCTTTCAGACGTGAGTGAGTTGAACGTTGCAGAAAGCCTGGTTTTATGAACAGGTTTTACAAAGAGTTGAGACATGCAGACGGACAAGTCCTTTATTCATCCAGCCAGAAAGTCAATTAAGGGATCAACACAATAATGGAATTAAAGTCTACCACATAAAGGTGCAACTTATGAATGACAGGAAAATTAGCCTATAACAATGGACAGCTGTATCAACAAGATTAGATAAAGACTGGGAAGATTATGTTAATGGTGTATTAAAAACCTGAAATACTGTGGTGGAGTGATACAAGATATTTGTTATGGTGGCACCTTTTTCGTCATATAGCATAATACATTTTGAATCGGCATAACTAATGCTCATGACAATAGCTTTATAATTTAATATGCTCTCCTTTTAAAGATATCTTGGCAAAAGTTAAATATTAAATATGATAGATTTCCATGAGTCTGAATTATTGTCTGTATCATATTGAATTAAACAATATAAATTAATTACTGTAGCATTTTATACATATGTATTGTATGTTTGTGTGTGTGTATATATATATATATATATATATATATATATATATATTTGAAATATTTAAGTTTTCTTATCCTCTTGTTAAAACTACAGCATTTTTTAAACTGAAAAAAAACATGTTTGTGTATCATGTGTGTGTGTGCATATATTAACCAGTTAGTTGTTTTAGAGCAACCTATAACAATGCTTTTTCTTGTTTAAGTTTGATATCCATTGAAATATGCTCTGTCGCTGATAGAGTTATAAAAAAGAATCACAGTGTAATCCAATAGCAGCATTTCACTAGAATATGTTTCTTTTCTCAGGCTTTTTATTCCATTTCCCGTCTCAGCAAAAGTGCCTGAGCCCAGTTCCATGTGTTAGTCTGATCGGAGTAGCAGTGAGGCTAACTTATTGCTAGCACATGTGACCGGGTGAGTGTGTGTTTGGGCCACGGCCTATCACACGGTATTCCCTTGCCTATCACGGTCGCCCCCCTCAGATGGATCTCAACCTTCATTAATGCAGGCCCACGGCAAACGCTTGTCTCCACATGTTAGCACACATCTGGCTTATTTTGAATGTTGTTGTTCCCCCTTTCCTCTCTTAAACCTTCTCTTCTCCTTCCTTTTTTTTCCCCCCTGTTTTCCGAAAAGGGGCGACTCAACATTGAGTCTTTTCTGGAGGAGAGGAAGCGGTGCTGGTGGTGTTGTGGCGAGGGACTTCAAAGAGGCTGGGACATCAGTCATGAGTGAGCAGAGGGCAGAACCTGGTCAATGGCAGGGATTTGTCGTCTAATAACCCCTCTGGGGGACTTCAGGTCTAATTTCAGAGGCGCTGAAAGTAGGATTTTATGGAGTATGCCATATCCTCAAGTCTTTGCTTTCACATGTTTTTTCCATTACACAGAAGCTAATTTTGATGATAATGGGAGAGTGAATAAATTCATGTTTTTTAAAGTTGTCATTTTCTCCAGATTTGTATCTCCCTGGAGTCTGATATGCTGCAAGTAAACATTGTTCAGTCACGTCCTTATTTTCATAAATTAAACCGTATGACTTTGTCTAACCTGGTGATGATGTCATCCAGGGATAACCTATCGGGTAATCCAGCTGGGCAGTAACTCCAGTTCACTTTAATATTGATGTTTCCCTCTCCTTGTCTCCCCATCAGCAATATATTTAATGGTCACATTCTGTGCTTATTCAGCACAAGAAAAACGAGAGCAAGGTAAACATGCCAACTTGAGAGCACAAGACATTAGTCTCATAGCTTGAAATAACTGGCCTGCATTTAATGAGACGTACGTAAGTTGAGAGGGAGGGGGGGCACATTTGTTTTGTTCCTGACCGCATGTGCCGAATTAACTGAAAAACGTTGAAGTTCTCTGACGTCGGGGGGCGCAGTGTTCCAACTGCCATCAATACAAGCTTGTGATCTGTAGTCTTTGTCAGTCAGGAGGTCGTTAAAAGAAAATGCACATTTAATGGCTTGATCCATTGTGATTGGAGTGGTTAACTGATGATCTGGTTGTAAATTTCTGTCTCATGGCTGTCACTGTCCCTCCTCCCCTACTTTCATCGTTCCCTTGTTTATCCTCTTTGCTTTTACTCAACCCTTCACTCCTCCTGTTCTCTAACTAGAATTTGTATCTCTCGCTCCCTTCGTCTGTCCATTCTCTTATTGATTACAAAGTGAAATGCAGTGGTGATCTTGAAACATTCACAGTTGAAACCCATCTAATTGCCCAGTTGAAATCCATCTCATGAAATGATTAACAGTTATTTGGGGGAACTGTTTGTACTGGCGGCCAACCAACACCCAGCTTGGAGAATGCCAGATTGACAGGACGCTGGGGTGCTGCCGCTGGTGCAGATGTGCCGCCTAATTGCAGCTCCCACCATGCGGAAACTATTCTTTTCAATCCATTTCAAAGCATCTGTGATAGGTGTCAGAGCGAGGTTAAACCAACTTTAAAATGCAAGTCCTGTTTCCATTCCTCACCACTGAATAGATTGCAGAGGGCAGTGTGCCCTCGGAGGAGAGGAGGAGAACAGGCAAAAAGTATCAGAAGAGGGGGATTCACAAACATGGTCATGGCTTACATTGGTCCTCTAGTGTCTGCTTTACCTTGTACCTTTGACATGTGGGAATGAATTAAGAAAACTAGGTCTTATTCCAAATTGTGAAAATCATTTTTACCTCGGTGGTTCTTGTTAAAAGGCTTGAACTTGAAACCATATGTCAGTAGTTCATTTTTAAATTGCAAAATGGGTCTAATCCTGTTAACGGTTAAACGTAAGCGAGGATAGAAAACAGAAAACAGAGCGTATTACTTTATCTTGAGCCATTTTGAACGCTTTCTGGGAAGGTATTGATTTAGTCAATTGCAGCAGTTAATGGTGTCTGTAGATGCTAATTGAAACCTAGAAAAGAAGGTATAAGGTTTCATGCAGCAATAACAGTGTAAACTAAACAGCAGTGAATGATGTGCTTCTCATAAAATAGCAGCTGCAGTTTAAAGGCTGAAATCTATGGTGACTTCAGAAACACTGAAGCGATGAGTGGTGAGAAAAGACCACAGAGGCCTCATCATTGGACTGTCCTGATTGTCTAATTCTGAAAAGTTTTCTTGTTCTTGCCACATTACATCTGTTCCTTTTAGCAGCTTTAGGCTTATTAAGATAAGAGCCTTGTCTTGCATGTGTAGTGAAAAAAACTGCATAGTAAGTTAGTAAGCAATCATGTGTGTATGATCTCCAATGATCTGTAAGAATTCTTTGGCTTGGGTCCTGCTGAATTTCCTGCTTACACAAATGTAAGCATACTGCGACCACGTCTTTGATTTGTGCTGTTTTCCTCCACCAAGGAAGTGATGTTGTCACCCTTGCATGTTTGTTTGTTTGATTGTAAGCAAGATTGAACTTGCACAGATTGCCAGGAAGCTTGGTGAGGGGATGCGGTGTGCGAAGGGCGCTGATCCAGGAATTTATCTTCACTGTCTAACATTGTGAGAGAGTGTGATTTTCAACTTTCTCCACAGAGAATAATTCATAGATCGAGATGACTATAATCAGGCATGTTTAGAGGACTGATATCTATGAGTGTTTGCAATTTGGTGTGGATCTAAATAACAAAATCTGGATCTAGTGAATATAAATGTCCCTCTAGTCTTCGTCATTTTCAGTATGTTTGTTCTATCCTGTCACATTTTATGCATGTTTGTTATATATACATATTTTGTCAATTAATACTGAAGAGAAAAATATTATTTCTGCTTATTTAACCAAATTATTATTATTTTGTGGCATTTTGTGCAATGACTCACTTGCAGTGAGCTTTAAGTCCTTTTTTGTCTGTATGTGCATTCATACATATACTGTAGGTGTGTGTGTCAGTGTGTGTGTGAGAGAGGCAGCGTGCAGCCCTGTCTGGCCAGCCATGGCCACATCTGTTTGTCATGTTAGCACTTAAGCGCCTGCTGGAGCCACGATACTAAGTGGAGACAGAGTCCTCTCTCCCACTCTCTCCATCCTCCCTTTCTCCTAATTACATTTGTTCATTAATCCATTTTCTGCCCACTTCTCTTTCTTGTTTATGTTCTTGCTCCGCTGGGCTTTTGCCTCCTCGGACCAGCAGACAGTGACCTTTAAGGAGATGCCAAAAGACTCTGTAAGACAATGTTACCCCTTCACCCTTTCACCACACGTGCACATGCACACACTCATCCGCACACACGCACACACTCACGCCCACCCACCCACGCATCCAGTCCCGTCTTGGCCCCTCAGTATCCCCTCAGGCCATCTCCTTCAGAGAGGCTAATGGAGTTAGCCTAATGTCTGCACAGCGCCAGTCATAAAACTGATTTGAGGCTAAAGGCTTGGTGCCGAGACCACCACTCTGCCTACAAAAAAGAGAGATGTGAGTGAGATGTTAAAAGAGAGCGACTGTATCTTTAGAGGGAAAGAGGTTGGGGTGGCGGTGGCGGCAGTGCGGGGCAGGCTGGCGTAACTAAGGCAACTGCAGACAATCTAATTGGTATTGACATCCTTGTCTCGGAGGAAATTTGACATCTAAGGGCAAATCATTCTATTTAGTCTATTTAGTCGCCTGAATAGTCTCCAAGGCGGGGCCTGAGGAGCACAATCACGCTGTAGCGTTGTTCTGGTCCTCATATCTGGGCCAGCTCTGCCACGCAGCAATCGATCCTAATCTGATCGTGGGAGGGGAGCAGGATAAGCGGCATGGGGAGAAAAAAATGAAAATAAAATCAAAAGCTCTGTTGGGGTAATATTTAACAAGAGGGAGTACAATTGGTCTCTGCCGGGGCGGCAGGCTGTAATGCACTTGTGCCGCTGTAGCATGGTTAATGTATAGAAAAGCTCGGGAGTAATGGCTCTTCAGCCAAGGTGGCCAGGCTTCAAAGAAATCTGCTTGCTTTAGCTAAAAGACTGGCAGGCTGGGCCGCCAAAGACCTTCATTCTGTTAGAGCATCAAATATGGCCCCCACTCAGGACACACAGACACCCTGATTTTATTATCCTCACTCCCCTGAGAAACTCATCTCATCCCTCTTTTTGTTTGTGTGACTGACCATCAACGTGAGAGGGTGAAGTGGTGCTGTTCATCCGAAAGCACACACGCCGCCGTTGGGTCAAAGAGGAGTAGAGGGTTTCTGTAGTGTCTTCACACTCCGACAGTAGTGACAGTGGTGGCAACATTTTGAATGCATCAAACTCACAAGACAAGTTATATCGTAGCTTACTTTTTAAACAACCTTTTATTGTATCTTCAGCTGTTGTTTGGAGATCACATGATTTTTTTGTCGACAGCTCATCCACAAACTCTCTTGACATCTTTATCGGTGTCTTCTATGTGTATGACATTCTTTTTCACCCTAAAATATTTGTTTTCATTTATTTATTTTTTCATTTTTTTGCTGCCAAGTGTTCATCAAGCCCCTGCTCTGTTCTCGCATCAGATTCTGTGGCCTTTATGCAGACTTGATACTAAAGTGCCAGGCTAAGAAAGTACCCAGATAAGTCGGAGCCTCTCACCCAGTCCACTGGAGTTCAGTCCATGTCTGAAAGCAGCTTTATTGTGTTATTTTATCTGTATCCCTAAAAGCAAAGTCTTTTTTAAGATCACATTCATAAAATAAAATTCACATCAGAATTGTGTACAAGATGAAAGTATAGGTTCATGCTTATCTTTATGGCAGCTGTAGTGCAAAGTCCTTTTCCCCTAAATACAAGTTCTCACTTTAATCTTTGGCCTCTTATTGCATGCTTATGTGACTGCCAGCATAGTGTGCTTCTGAAAATCCCATTATGTACCAAAGAAGGCCCATACATCCAGGTAATGCATCTTTTTCATCATCTCCCAATCACATCAAGATGGTTTTCCTCTCAGCAGAGGCTCCACACAGAGCTAATAAGTTCCACACATGTTAGCTGAAGAAGCCCATGGTTGATATGGACTGAAAAATCTGGTAAATGGACCAATGAATTTAAGTCAATGTGATGTTATCTGTTGTCACAGAGACAGGACTCTGTGTGTGCGGTAAGAGGATAAGATGGAGATGCATTTTCATTGTTACATTTTTTTCCTTCTTATATTGACGGATGTATCTGAGTTAGGTTTAGGGTTACTGGGTTTAAATTTAGTAAAGGTCTAGTATGACAGTTTGTCAGAGTTTAAGTGAGGTTGATAATTTAATTTAAATAATACGGTTAGATTTAAGTGGGTAATTTTGCAGTTTGGGACTAATGAAGTACAGGCTGAAGATTTAATTCATTCAAAGAATGTAGAAGTTCAGTTGTGCATGTACGTGTGTTCAGCATAAGCAGTCTGGGAGGTTAGGCTACAGTTGGAGTAGGTAGAGTGAAACT